TTTACATCCCAACTATTCTAACCTTTCTTTCCTTCTTCCTTCTCGTTCCCTCTTCCTCATCACATATACTGCAATAGAATTTTCCACTTCTTCACCTTCCGGGATTCTCGCTTTCTTTTGCTTTTTGGTGAATTTTGGGGTCTATGCCCCAATTCTGTGTTGGTCATCCTCACTCTTTCTCATCCCTGTCATTTGTAAACCAACAGCGGAGTCTGTTCACTGTTGTCTTCCATTGTTTTCGGGCTTGTATCTGTTTTAGTGCGTAATAATTCCCCCAATTTCCGATCAATTTTGTTACTTGATTAATTTATTAGCGATGAAATCATGCACAGAGCTACGAAGACGAACCAGTGGCCGCTTATCAACAGGCAGTATCAATTTGGAACGACAGCCATGTGAAAGCAGGACAAGATACGGAAATCATCGTACCCCACTCCCAGTCAAGAAAGGGGCTGACTCTTGGTTTTGTCAATCCCAGCCTTCAATCCTATGTATGCCCGGCCGACGATTCCAAATCTGTCAACGGTTCTAGTGCCAACAACATTACAGTTCTTCAAACATCACCTGCAAATAGTAATCACTTCTTCAAGTCCAGGAGAAGAAACAGCTTGGACGACTTCAACTCTCTATCCTCCTGCAATAGATGTCAGCCTTCCCTCATCACTGCAGAATCTGAAAACAGAAGTAACACTAACACTTCCGAAGTTCTTGTCCCTTTCACCGATTCTCACTCATCTCTTCCGTCACAACCCAAGAGTAAGGGGATTATTTCTTGGCTATTTCCTCGGCTAAAGAAAAAGCATAGCAAGAATGAGACTTCCCCAAACAGAACTGAATCCGAGGAAGTTTCTCAGGTTCTTAAGGATTTAGGAAACGTATCAATCGAAACACTGAAGAAAGAGCTGATTGAAGCAAATGAGAACAGAGATGCGGCCTTAATGGAAGTTTCCGAGATGAAATCTTTATTTGGGGAGGTTAAACAAAAATTAGAGTACTTGGAGAGTTACTGTGAAGAGCTGAAGAAAGCATTGAGACTAGCAAAGGATTGCCGTGTTCGTGAAAAGCTTAATAATCTGCCCAAGCGAGGAAAACCATCTGATGGGAGTGCGGAAAATGTGATGCCTGTGAGCGAGGGAGTAATGGTAGAGGGGTTTTTGCAGATTGTATCGGAAGCCAGATTATCAGTGAAGCAATTCTGTAAGACCCTTATAAGCCAGATTGAAGAAACCGATCGTGCCTTAACTCAGAATCTGAACCAGCTTCTCCAACCATACAAGCTGTCTCTGAACGCCAAGTACTCAAAGGCTGTGTTATACCATTTTGAAGCTTTCATTAATCAGTGCCTCTACCAAGACTTTGAGAATTGTGTGTTCCAAAAGAATGGATGCCCAAAATTCTTGGACCCACATCAGGATCGTCAGACACATTTCTCATCATTCGTAGCACTTAGGAATCTGAGCTGGAACGAGGTATTGAGAAAGGGAACGAAATATTACAGCGAGGAGTTCAGTAAGTTCTGCGACCAAAAAATGAATTGCATTATCACTTGTCTGAATTGGAGTCGGGCGTGGTCTGAAGAGCTGCTCCAAGCATTCTTTGTTGCTGCGAAATGCATATGGTTGCTTCATTTGCTGGCACATTCCTTCAACCCACCATTGGGGGTTCTAAGGGTAGAAGAAAACACGAGTTTCGATGGGCATTACATGGAAGATATGTATGAGGATAGGCAGAGATCACAAGGGCCAAGCAGGGTGAAGATGATGGTGATGCCAGGGTTTTATGTTGGGGATAGGGTTTTGAGGTGTAAGGTCCTTTGCAGGTACAAGGCTGCAACCTAGGCTGGTAGTTGTTGTTGTCCGTCCAAGGTCTATAACTTGCCAAATGAATGTGATGCCATGGTTCTTGGTTCCCGAGTTTGTGAGACGAGTAAATACTAAATAGGTGTTGATCTGACAGTGAAAGCCATATGCTAAACGTCAAACTGTGTCACTGTAATAGTAAATCATGCATTTCAACTGAGAAGCATATTACGATGCACTTGTGCAAATGCTTTGGCCCTCTTTCTTGGCATTATGAGTTATCAGATTTAGACTGTTGAGTTCTGCACCGACGACACATAGGAAATACTCAATTATGTTATGTGAGAGGAAAACGAAACCTAAAGGAGAACCAATGAAGACAATGTTTTCAGCGTTGACCCAACGATGTGAAATGGGTTGCCATGTATTAAATATTAATGTATATTTTGCTTCATAATGCCTTCCATACTTCACTGCTACAAGTGAGGCTATTCCGCAGACTTTTTTGGATTTAATAAATCTAATTTGTCTCTCTACACAACACCGGCCATTTCTCTTCTTTCAATAAAGCAGGCGCTTGGGAAGGCTAAAGAGGAATTAAAGTAGGGCGTGTTTCTTTATTTGGGAGCTGGGACTACGATTCAACCGAGTTAGGGCTGGTATTTAAGAAAATTACCATTTGATCACGCCGTTATTCTAATTGGAAAAGAACCCCCCGAGAGAAGACACATTTGATTAATATCCTCGATGAGATTATTAATTCAATATTGTGAGAATCAGACGTGACATTAATAGGACCGGTATTAGTTAAGATAATATAATTAAAAAAATATGTTTGCAAAATTAAAATTAAAATATTTACTAATATATTTATTTATATCCTTATCACGTGTGAAGTTTATAGGTAATCACGCCAACATTATAAGAAAATATTTATTATCCATTATATATCACCAAAATCATCCAATATCCCACATTAATTGTTCGGCCGCAAACAAACGCAAATTTTTATTACTTAAAATAATGAATAATTGTGTAAAAATGATTTATATATCACCAAAATCATCCAATATCCCACATTAATTCTTCGGCCGCAAACAAACGCAAATTTTTATTACTTAAAATAATGAATAATTGTGTAAAAATGATTTATTTTTTCCGTCTAAATTCTTACTCGAAGCTATCCAGAATCTGAGCCGCTGATGATTGAGATGAGGCACGGGATGCATTAAAGCAGCGCCTCTTTGCTGGCAAACAACCTAAAAAGGATTGGGTCACGATTTGCGTTGACTGAGGAAAATTCGGCCATAAAAAAAGAAGAAGAAATGTTTGTTTTTGTCATCAAGAAAAATGAAAAAGTTAGCAACATAAATGGGTCCAAGGCCACAAACCTACCCCCACGCCCCAGTCTGGCACTCAGCGAGGAGTCAATTCAAATTACGAATAGATTAATAGGGGGAGCCTGGATTCCGAGGCCACCAACCTCCTCCTCCTCCTCACAGACCGTGTCCGACCATCTTCTCTCTGTGAGACTGTGAACATGGAGGCTCCGGGCAAACAAGACATGGACATAGTGCTGTTCCCTTTCATGGCGCAAGGTCACATAATTCCTTTCCTCGCTCTAGCGCTTCAGTTGGAACGAAGCACAAACAATACCATCACCGTGGTCAACACCCCTTTCAACATCCAAAAGCTGAGGGCCTCTCTCCCGCCACACTCCTCCCTCAACCTCCTCGAAATCCCTTTCCATGCCTCCGACCATGGCCTCCCTCCCAACACCGAGAACACCGACGCTGTGCCTTACAGCCTCGTCATTCGTCTCCTAGAGGCCTCCACTTCTCTGAGGCCCGCTTTCAAGCTCCTCCTCCAAAATCTCTTGGACTCGCAACACCACCGACGGCCACTCTGTGTTATAGCCGACATATTCTTTGGATGGACTGCTGGTGTGGCCAAAGAGGTCGGTGCGTTCCACGTTATCTTCAGCGCTTCTGGAGGACATGGCATGGCCTGTTACTATTCTCTCTGGTTCCATCTCCCTCGTCGGAACGGACAGTGCGATGAGTTTTCACTGCCCGATTTTCCAGAAGCCGGCCACATACACAAAACACAGCTACCGACCAACATATCGGAGGCGGATGGCAGCGATGCGTGGTCATTGTTCCAAAGGAAGAATCTTTCGGGGTGGGCTGACTCAGACGGGATCCTGTTCAACACACTGGAGGAGATTGACTCAGGTGGACTGCACTACTTTACCAGAAAGCTCGGCCTGCCGGTGTGGGCGATCGGGCCTGTGGTCTTATCGACCGGGAGCGGATCACGCGGCAAAGGAGGCGGTGTGAGGCCAGAGCTATGCCGAGAGTGGCTGGACACAAAGCCATGCAATTCGGTATTGTATGTGTGTTTTGGGTCAATGAACACGGTGTCGGCGGCACAGATGATGGAGCTGGGGATGGCGTTGGAGCGGAGCGGAAGGAATTTCATATGGGTAGTGAGGCCCCCGATTGGGTACGACATCAATTCGGAATTCAGAGCGGAGGAATGGCTGCCACAGGGATTCGTGGGGAGGATCCGAGAGTCAGGGAGGGGGCTGATAGCCATTGGCTGGGCGCCCCAGCTGGAAATACTCTCGCACAAAGCCGTGTCTGCATTCTTGAGTCACTGCGGTTGGAACTCAGTTTTGGAAGCGCTGAGTCACGGGGTCCCCATTCTGGGATGGCCCATGGCTGCCGAACAGTTCTTCAACTGCAAGTTTCTGGAGGAACAAGTGGGCGTTTGCACGGAGGTGGCCAGAGGCAAGAGCTGCGAGGTTCGGCATCAAGACATCGCCGCCAAGATTGATGCGGTGATGGCTGATCAGGGCAAAGGGACCCACATGAGAACCCAAGCTCATCGACTCAGAGACATCATAGCTAATGCCTTCCGAGATGAGGATGCCTTTACGGGGTCTTCTATCCGTGCCATGCGTGATTTCTTACACGCTGCGGCCACACTGAATGATCGTTGAAAACAGCATATACCCATTTCATGTATGGACGCATGCCCATACCATCCCCCCCCCCCCCCCCAAAGAAAAAAAGGGTAACCACAAACATAATCTGCTTTGCTGTTTCTGTGCTGTCCTTCGATATCATCTCGTCATGGAAACAATCAACACACTAATAAACAATCCACCATCTATGTTATGGTTCATTGACATTACGAAAAAGAAAAAGAAAATACATTCCCATATAGCGTAGAACTTCAGAAAGCACATAATTTGCTCTGCTATATCTGTGTTTGTTCTTCGATATCATTTCGTCATGGAAACAATCAACCACACCAATAAGCACCCTATCATATGTTATGTTATAGTTCATTGACATTACGAAAAAGAAAAAGAAAATACAATCCCATATAGCGTAGAACTTCAGAAAGCTTTTGGTCGGCAGCATCGCAGCACGTTTTTGCCCTGAAAATTATGGGAGCACCAATTGCCACGAATGACGTTTATGTACACAAGGGCACACCGTAGCAGCCATGCAAACTGACGTGCGAAGCCAGTAATAGCGCATCAGGATGCACGCGAGCTCCCGCCCTCACTCCACCAAAAGCTAACCGATAAACTGGTAGTCAGAGATCGGACATAATGCCACCACCCTGGCGGGATATATAGCATTTCCCCTTCTTCTAGAATACAGTCGACAAATTCCAGGTCTTGCACCTTCGGAAACTTGACTTCATCTATATCGTCTAAATCCACCTTCAAACATAAATTTTCCAATTAACATGGAGGTAAAGATTTCAAAATAAATCAATATCTCATTTTAGAAACAACGACAGTAGATGAACGTAAATAAATCATGCATCGCGGATGTGAGGTTGTAATAACTAGTTCAAGCACGCAAAGCCACTTGGCTGCCAGTGCAAACACTCATCATGGGAAACAGCATAATTCTGGAAGCACCGAGGGCACATTAAATCATACTTTTAGTCTTAGAATTCTTTGGCCATTCAGATACGGGCGCAGAGAAAGTGGTATGCTACCGGCAAAAGCAAACTGCATAAAGTTAGCCAGTTAAATGTCTCAATTTACCGAGTACCTGGCTGGAATTACAAAGCATGGTTTCCGTGTAAGGGTAAAGTTCCTCACAAAAAGATGCAGAGTAAAGCCTGATATATTTCTTTCCAACAACCTGAAATCATCAAACATAATAACAATCCCAGTCACGCTCATACTATAACCGCTGTTCAATTATGTAACGGGTCTTCAGATAGCTTTCAATCCTATAAACCAAGGGGGGAGGAAAAGAAATCCGAACAGGATGTGACCACGTAGCGTCTTGGAACGCATAGAAAGTTGCCAAAAAAACCAATGAACAGTAACAGCGCCAAGTATGGGAATCATTTTTGCATTTGGCTTAAGACATGATTTAAAATTTATAGAACTCGAGGATGGGAAAAAAAATCCATGCACAATACATCAATGTTGTTGACATAAATTATATTCACAATAATCTTTTATCCAAGAAGCATTAGCATATATACTTTGAGAAAGAGCTATCTCCGTGTCTGACCAATAAAGAACGACACTTCAAAATTTTTCTTCAACCATCATGGTGATGATTTTCATTCAACAGGTAACACTATCTCTCATTATATAACAACTATAAAATAAAGGGACAGAAAAGTGTAAAAGTTCTATTTTGCAAATTTTTCCAAGAATACTAAAACCAACTTACCTGCGCTAATATATTATGGTGTGGATCATGGTGTAACGGCGTTACGGTCCCAGCTGGACCAAACCAAGCATTGACAGATCTAAGCTCACCTCCGTCAGTAAAACAATAGTCTGGTATACAAATATCTTTTCGAAGCTCAGTTATCTGTCATGTCAATAACATCAGTAACTAAAAGCAGTACTGGCATGCCTAAATTACATAAGTTGGGAATGCAAAAAGAAACAACTATATAATATAAACCTGATCTGAAGGGGGAAAAAAGGAAAAAGAAAACCTGATCAAATAATGGATGCTGAGCCAGATATGTAGGATCCCACGAAGCGCAGCCAGGAGATTCAATCCGCTGAAGAAACTCAGAGAATGTAATTAGCTCTTGCTTCCACTCTGCGCATAAGTAGTTCTTCCCAACCTGTAAAGCAAGCCAACATGACACCTTCCTTCAAAAATTTATTAATTGAAAAACATAGCACAATTTAATTATTTTTGCCCACAACGTGCATGTAATTTATGATTAGCAAAATAAATTATTTAACCCCAAAAATATACATGTAAGTTAAGAGAGGCACCAGGGGGGAAGTTAATTTACAGTTTGGCAATCGTAGCTATGGCAAGTGTTATACAAAAATACAGAGCACTGTATTTTCAGGAAGGAAAATGTACTCCCCCCCCCCTCTTGTCAATGGAAATCAAACAAATGCAACCGCTCTCTCATACACTACATTTGTTTTTCAAGTGAGAGGAGGTGCATTATTAACAAAAGTAAGCAATTAGAGTAATTACCTCAACTGGAATTGTGCGGTCACCTGCAACTCTTTTCAAATAATCTACGTTATTCCATTTTGCCTTGGCTGGCCAGTGATCCATAGAATCACTGATAATAACTGGGGAACGAGTCAGGTAATAGTCTTTTAGAAATCTTTCCAATGACAGAGCCGACTTCTTCATCACAGTTTTACTTGACAAGGACTTGAAAGGTAAAAATTGGAGTGCCTACAAGTGTAAAAGCTATAGCATAAACATTAGAAGGGCTGTGCAATGTGGTGGTAATCACCTCATTCAAATCCAATATCCTAAGAACAATTAGGAAGGAGACAGAAATTTAAAAGAAAAGGCCTAAAATATCTACATTGATGGATTATCATCTTGTATGGCGATGCTATTTGTTCTGACATTTTTTTTAGGATTTCAAACTAAGGTGAAATTTCTATTACATCCAAATTCTTGTATACTACTTCAAAAAAGAGTTAGAGGGAAACCAGAGATGCATCATTATCCCAATAAAAGTTCTTGCGCGAACTAAAGGCATTACAATGTCCGGTGAGTATTGACCATTGATCAACTCCTCAAATTTTGCCCGACAAGTTCCAATTCACGACGACATTATTCTATGGAAGGTACAACAACAAAATACAGTTGATCATCCAAATAAGTAATTAATGCCGAGATGGCGCATAGTATGAAACTATATTGGATTGTTCATCAGGCTTCATAGTAACACAAAGCCAAAATCTTCATTAAGTTAGAAGGACGTACAGACCTCACCTCAGTGTTATTAAGTTGCTGACGAATAAGTGGATGCTCATGCTTTTCCAGACCTTCATAGCAATCTTCAGAAACCCCAATGTTTCTGACCTTTATCGAAACTTTCTCAACAGCGGAGTCCAAATCCTTCCTTAGAAGCATCCCTCCCATGATCAGACCCATATCCAAAGACTTGAGGGCCTCCTTGAACTCACCAATTCTATAATGGCACTTGGCCACGAGGAGGCAAGCCATAGAATATGCATCACGCCACACAGGGAGGACAGAGTGCCAGGGCCCCGAGTGAAGCTGCTCCCACGCCATCTCGCGAGCCGCTTCAGCAGCGCGAAAGTCACCAGCGGCCGCCAAGAACGCCATCCTGACATAAGCGTAGCCTCCGTGCTCGGAAATGGACTGAATAAGCCCCGAAGACTCCCTGTCTAATGTCGGAGTGTGAAGGTCAGGCGACTCAAGGCCGGCCATGGGGGAGGCTGCGATGGTTGACGACACTGGTCGCGCAGCACTCGCGGCGGTATAATAAACAAGAGCCCGTGAGATATTTCTTCTGTATCTTGCATAAAGCGAAAAAGATCCAACGCCCCGACCCCGACTGATATTTTCTGCTTCCCCTCAACGAAGATTCTAGACTAAGCCCCGACAGAGAATGTGTCATTTGCGTAACTTATTGGGAGAATGAGAATTAACGACCCCGCTAAAATGAAAAATGATAGTTTGGCACCTCAAATTGTCAAAATTGCAGCTTGGTGCCAACAGAGAAGGGTGAAGGGTTTGGTCTCGTCAAGGAACAAAAAATTAGACTGGACACTAAATCAGTTGAGATAATGATTCAAGAGTTAGTTGGTCGGACTGAGGTCAACTCAGGATCCAATCAGTCATATTAAAATAATATAATTTAATTAAAAATAACAAAATATAACAATATTAAAAATCACTAATAACAAAATATAAGAAAATATGATAATAATTTGATTGTAACAATAACAAAATATAACAACATTGAGAATTTTGATCTTTATGATTTATTATTAATTAAAATTAATAATTATCGATACCAAAGTTATCATTAAAATTCATTTAAATTTATAGGGGCTGATATATTAAGAGCTGCATGAGAAAAAAAATAAAACTAATAACAACCTAATCATTCAAATCGGTTTATTACCGGTTCACACCTGTTTGACCGGTTCAATTCCCTCCCAATTTAGTATTCAAACCAAACCAGTTCACTGACCGGTTCATCAATTTACCGGTTAAACCGGCTTGTCCGAACTGGTTTTGTGTTCACTGATCTCGATGTTTATCTCTTTTTTGTTTTTTGACCAATAGTGCTTATCTTTTCTCTTTAATTATCTAGATCTGGACAGTTTAGATTTAATTTCCTTTCTATTTTTATTTTTTCAAAATAATTATTTTAATAGGTATAGAGTATTAGGATCTCAAAAAAAACAATCACTTAATTCACTTAATCACTTTAACTTATGTTTCATACTTCCATTTGGGCATATAATACTATACTTCTTTAATCACTTTAACTTATAAATTTCTCAAATTTCTATTGTAATTGTTTTTCATATTGGCAGTGAATATAAACCCTCTTTGAAATTTATATGAGCCCCACATATACTGTATACATATCTTGATCAATCAGAAGAATATTAGAGGAGAAGAATTGCATTCTAATAATCAACACATATATGCAAGCAGATTTTAATTATTTATTTTATGTGTGTAAAATTTACAAACAAACATTGTATATACATGTGTATATGGCTATAAAAAATAACCAAAGTCAGGTGTGCTGCAATGAGATGATGCTCATTAATTAAATCACTTAATTCCCTTGATATATGTAATTCACATTTATAGTTTTTGGTTCATGTTATATAAACTCCTGTCTTTTTGACTAAATTGCCCATGAAACTCTGAAGAACTTATGAGAGAAGACCTGAGATGTCCCCAAAACAAGACATACTCAATACTTCTCTGGCTTAGTATATCTATTATTAATGGCTTAATAATTCTTTGAATAAAACATCACATTTTATGCTTCGGCTTCAATTATATTTCAATATTTAAAATGACATATGCTGATGTATAATATAATGAGAAAATGAGAATATTATGCACTCTTATGATTACAATATTATCTTGAGATTTTCTTGTGTAAAGATTAGGGGTGAATATGAATGATTGCAAAATTAGAGTTTTTTATTTTTATTTCATCCAAAAAAATTGGACAGGATTTCTTAGTCCCTTACCGAGATCAAGACAAGACAAGACAGAAGTCCCATATCATCTCTGTTCACCGTAACTGGGATAAGATTGTCCCACTCTCATCCCGTGAACACCTCTAATTAGTGGAACCGATGATATGCGATGGAAGTCACGTCTTATCCCGCAAACAACGATATTGTAATCCAAGAGACGGCTTGCTGTTTCACAAAATATCAGGCTAATGTCATCATATGGGGAAGAAATAGTGATAACCTATGGGTTGTCTCAATGTTGGGGATACCGAAAACCCCCTCCTTGTTCACAGGGGAATGAATAATAATAAGTCAAATCTCCACATCAGCCTAAGGTGCCCACGTTTCAATTGCCTTCCTCACCCGAGTCTGAACATTCTCGTCAACCAACGTCACCAATCACCCACATTGTATATGAAGCAGGTTATTAACAGAAAAATCGGCAGCATCTGCGCTGCAGAAGTCAAATACAGATCGATGTAAGAACTAAAGATGGGATGAATGAAAGCTCTCTTGAAAAACATGTATACCGGCATTCTGCTGTCACACGTAGAAAGAGGAATAAGGCCATGGATTTTTATTAAACTTGGAGTTACTTCTATCAATGTTTAATTTAGCCAGTACAACAAAATGACTAATTAACATGAAACTCTGGCAATAATCAATGACAATGAAACGGTACACCTATATCACAAATTCATGGTTTCATTCTTCCTCCTGCTGCTCTCTAAATTGATGACATCTAACATTAAGATTATCACTTCTCAAATCGAACAGCACACTGATACTGATCTGGGAACTTTCACCCAGCAGAACAATTTACCGCCAGAATTTAAAGTTCCTGGTGAAGGATGGGAGTCAAGAAACAGAACTAGAACAAGCCATTCTACTGAGGGTTGATTTGGGAAAATTTAAGAGAACAGCACTTACAATCTCTGCCCCAAGTCCCCAGTTCTAAAATCTATGCCCCAAAGTATTCCATCATTTCATCATCACCCAGGATGTCATCAAGGTCAAATGGCGGAGTGCTGAGTCCTCCAAAATCTAATGACAGGCCATGGATTGGCGATCCAAGGAAAGGGTTTTCCATAGGTCTTTCTAGCTCATTTTGAAATGTATCTTTTACATAGTACTGCAAGTCTGCTCCAGTAATATCACCCCCTTTCATATGTACAGCTGGCATGGGGGCTGCATCATTCCCTTGCCTAAACAGTTCACTGTTTCCAGATTGCAGTAGCTGGCCTTCGTAATTGGGCCTGAATCCTGCTGCTGAATCAGAAGCATTACAAGTATCTTGATGATGTGTATCAGGATTTTGCATTGCATCATAGTGCAATGTTCTTCCATTCACATGCATGCTTTCTGAGGTAATTATATCGTTCGAATTCAGGTAAGGGTAGTGACCAAATTCATGACCTGGTATTTGAGTTGTCACCTCAAGACCTTTCTCCAAGGGTGTCAGAGCAGAATCTGTGTCATTGACCTGTTCGCTTCCCTGAATTTGGAATCCAGTTACTGGTACTTCCTTCTGGGTCTTATTTAGCAGAGTGCTTATAGGCTCAACATGCAAGGGTTCATTTTCAGATGGTGCAGGTATTTTGTCAGAGGCACTTGATATCAAGCGGGGTTTTTTCTTCCAGCGTTGCTTCTCAGGTCGCTCTTTATCTTGGACACAATCAGCACTTGTTCTGCGTTTATCTAATGAATCAATATCCATCAACTGATTTTTCCTATTATCTTTAGAAGAAACAGAACCAGCACCGTCATCAGCACCGTCAACATCATAGTTGCTATCACTGCTACCAGGCCCTTGCGTGGTTTCAACAGGTACACCGGGCCGTGTTTTAGTTATTCCAGATGAACCATTATCACTACTAGACTGCCTAATGAGAGCTTCTTCTCGACTTAATACTCCTAACCAAATTGCACTTTCCTTTGCTGTCATCTTGTCCTGCAAACACTTTGACTGGCGGACATGCCTCCTTATTTTTGCAATGTTTGGTGACATGTGCTTTATAACTGCAGTTAACACTCCAACTTTCCACATCTTCTTCAAATCATGTGGCTTCTTATAAGGAGGACTCTGACCATGGGGTAGGCCTAATTGTACCCACCAATCTTCATTCCCAGTTGGCCACCAAGGTGGAGGAACACCCTTTTCCAATGGATACTTCCGCTGAGGAGGATCACAATGTTGCATCAGAGAAGAAAGAAGTGACCCAAGCGTTGCATCTTGCAGGTCCTGGAGAATGCTATGTGAGTTCCCATTGTGTTTGTTATCAGCCTCACTCATAGCGAGACACTCCGCTTCATACTTGGCTATAGCTGCAGGACCATTTTTATCAAATTTTACCTTCTCTTTCCACCAAGCTCTAATGTTATCTGAAGCACCACTCACAGGCTTACCCTTCTCGGGAATAATTCCATACACAAAACCACGGGCTTTACAAACTTCCATAAGCTTCAGCATATACTTGAGGATCCCATCTTGTGCTCTGGACATTTTTTTCCTGCGAGCTTGATCGGAGGTTTGCTTGGACTTTTGCTTCTCCAAAGTCTGCTGCGCGGCCACCTTCTGCCTTTCCTTGATCCTTTTGAGTTTGATGCGATCCTTAAACATCCGCCTCTCCAATTCCTCTGGTTCAATCTCTTCATCACTGACATCTTTCTCCGCTATGGTTTCGCATCCAATGTCATCAGCTTCTATATCCGAACTGTAGGTCAATGTGTCACCATATATCAGAAGAGTATTCACTGAATTAAGTAAGAAAGCCTCTCAGTCTGGCTGCTGAGAATATCTATTGAAATGAAACATGGAACGGATTTGGAACTCGCAAATTAGAAAAGGCTATCTTGAATTGCTCTCCAAAGACAGGACTGAACTTACATTTATAAAATGTTCATTGTGGCATACGGAAAGGAGCAAAGAGCAAACTCTTATAGTATAAGAAAAACTAATAACCAACGGTCAAAATTTCAATCCTTTCCTCCCATCGTTTCTCAGAAACCAATTTAACAAATTAATGCTCAGGATTACAAAGCAGACATAGATTACATATAATACTTGAAACTGTTATTAAGTTGTCAATGCCCTCGGTGGAATCAGAAAACTTGAGAGCCTCAGGGAACACTCATCGCAATACCAAAATACAACAAAACTTAAAAATTGTTCAAATTTTGTTTCGAATGAATCTGTATGACCCGTGAACTTCAAAGAGCGAACAAAAACAGCTCTCAGACATACAACTGGCATAAAAGAAAAGGCAAAGTATACCGTAAAATTTTTTTGAATAGAAATAAAAGAAACTTCAAAAATAGAAGTAAAGTAACGAACTTGAAACTCATAACAAAATCAACAGGCATTACTCATACCCAACGTCAACTCCAATTTCTTGGATTTCACCCATCTATAAATATGCAGGGGACAGATGAGTGCCAAAGTCGATCTAATCGAGTCGTTTACAGCGTCCCGATTATGAAAATCGAAGGGGGCGATGCGAGAGGGAAGAGAATCCACCTAAAAATATGAAGTGCCCAGACGGGGTTTTGACTTTTGCTTTTACGGGTAAATCCGAAGGAGATTGAACGCTGCGTTGCTGCGACGGGAAAAGTGGTTTTGATCTTTGGAGATGGAGATGGGCAGAGAAAGGAGGGAGATGCCAAACCTCATACGACAATTGGGAGAAAATCAGAAAATCACTTCGTACTTCGGAGGCCGCAAGATCCCCTACAGCGCGCCTCTAAATTTCTAGGGTGGATCTTCGCGTTCTCCTTTTGCTTCTTTTGAAACAGGGACTCAGATTGTTAAATTTAAATATTTAAATATAGTAACCCATGCATGAATTTTTATTATTCATTGTCGATTTTTAGAACACAAATTAAAATAGAGGTAATTTTTAAAAAAAGATTGTTGAAATAATATATTCTTTCTTAACAATTTGATGAGAAAAGGGTGTGGAAAATTTATTTCAAGTTGAAATCATAACAGATTCCAGATTGCTGTTGTTAATAAATTCCACAAAAATGGAAAAGTGCTGGAGTATTGGATGCTAATTACGTCTTTTATACTGGTCAAGCAGCAGAAAGTTTTTGTTGATACTGTTTATCTTTTAATGAGTTGTGCTATTTATAACTCACGAATAGAATAACTTGTTACGCACATTTCAATGTTTTTAATATAGAACTTATCTGCTTTAGAAAATATGATGATTTATTAGAATTTTAATATGACATATATCCATATAGACCCATGCTTCCATGCACTTGCTTTCTCTCGTATGTTGCTATTCGCGTCTACTCCTCATTTCTGTACACTTCTTTTACCCCAAATTACAAAAACAGAAACCTCGTTCGCATCGTCAAACTTCCAAAATAAAGAGAAACCCAAACATTCGTCTAATTGAATATTACAAAGTTATGGGGACAATGGCCACCCCTTACATAACAAAATAATAGACTAATGCTAATATTTATTCCAAGCAAATATTTATCACTTCTTTGTTCCAGCGGAGAGATCGCAATTAAATCTAACTAGTTTTTCTTCAGGAAATTCTTGAACCAGTGAGCAGACAATTTAGGGTATCTTTTCAAGTCATCATTGTAATCAACGAAGTTGATTCCAAATCGTACAGTGTATCCTGAATCCCATTCCATGTTATCCAACAATGACCACGCGAAATATCCCTTTACATTCACACCGTCCCTTACACGTACAAAAAGCCAACCAAAACATAAGAATTAAAATGTAACAATGAATACTTTTGAAACAATAGACATATATGTGTGTGTGTGTGTGTGGGGCGAGAGAGAGTTCTTTTCATAGGGTGCTACTTACCTAATAGCAGTTTGAAGATAATAGAGATGACGATAATAATAATCAATTCTATAAGTATCCATAAGGGCTTCCTCAAGTGATAGTGTTGGATCATTATATTCGTCATATCCTACAATATGCACCAACGTAATAAAATTCACTTAATTTTCTCCGGCATTTAACATTCACATCAACAATGCATGCATGCAAAAAGAAATATGACCAACGTAATACCGTTTTCGGTGATGTAGATTATGGGGTTGTTGTACTTTCTCTTAATGTAGAGCAGCAGTTTTTGAAATCCTCTTGGATAAATGCATAACCAGTCTGAAGCACCCTGTACATAAATGAAGGGTTGTGTAATATTTTTTTATGATTCACTGAGTAAAAGAAGACCATAAAAGCACTGATATGCATCTGCAAATAAAGTGGCACAGAGATACCATTGGTCCAAGGGGCTTCCCATCACGGTTATCTGTCATAACAAAACAAAATGCATGCTTTTACAACGACAATCAGAGTGTTGTTTTTCTTGAATTCTTTTAAGCCATCAGAACTGAATTAGTCCTTACATACACAAATTTATAATATCTCATATATGCTATTCTTACTTGTAACATTAACTAAAGAATCAGTCTGTAGGCTTGGTTTGCTGGGATTATGTAGTTGAGGTGCATCAGCAGCATAAAAGGATGAGTAGTAGTTTAAGCCAAGGAAGTCAAATGACCCTTTAAGTAGCCTGGATTGCTCTTCAGAGAACTTTGGCAACCGGTTTCCTACTAGAGATTGCATGCTTCTCGGGTATTCACCTTTTGTGAGTGGTTCCATATACCTGAGATCAAAGATAAGAAGTTCATGTACCCACTTGACATTTGTCTTCTTTCCACTATCATCTGCTTGATTCTGCTGCTTTATCCAATATAAAATTTTGGCGCTCCTTAAGTTGTACCCAGCCCCGAGTCACAAGAAGGGGTCCATAAAAAGGCCCACCAAATATCTTTAGAATCACGAGGGCTCACATAATTCAGTGGTAATGGTCCCAAACTAGCCTAACAACTTCAAAGGAATCTTTCATCAGAGTGAAAAGCGATAGATGCAAGGAAGCTAATCTGTCCACGTAGTGGTCAAATTATTTTTATTCAGTTTTAACAGGACCAGCTTTTACTCTTAACCTTTTGCAACACGATAAAGAAATGTAATGCCGAACATATAGAGTTCTTACCATCCAAACATGAAGTCAAGAGCTCGGTCAGCAGCATCAGAATCTGATTTGCTGTTGGATAATGGTACGAACCAGTCAGAATTTAGGGTTATGCCTATCATACCCTTTTGAGAAGCCTGCGCACTTATTCAAATATTCTGGTTATTTGCTAATAATTCTACTTCACCTATGAATATGTTTACTTCAGTGTTTGGCCATTCTATTAAAAAAGTCAAATTATCAATTCTTTTGGGCTCATATTTATGAAGTTATATTCTTAATCAGATCCAGCACCTGATACTTGATCTTATACGCTTGAACAGCAGCTGCATGAGCAAGAAGTTGATGGTGGGAAACCAAATAGGGCTCTGTCCCTGAATCACCACCGGTGCAATTCATCTTCAGCCAAGCAGAACACCGACCAGGTGCAAACCTGCCATTTGCATAGCCATTCTTGCTGACACTCCTTGGTTCATTCAATGTAATCCAGCTCTTGACCCTATCGCCAAATTCCTTGAAGCAAAGCTCGGCATAGTCCCTAAAATCCTCTCTGCACATAACTTAAATCGAAGCCGTTAGACCTTATTTATGAGAATTCTTTCTCAATAGTCTTACAGTGGAAATCGAGTTACTTACACAATGTGAGGACTTAAGAAGCCGCCATACTCTTCTTCTAAAGCTTGGGGAACATCCCAATGGAAAATGGTTACAAAGGGTTTCAGGCCTGAATTAATTTCAAAGGTTTGTCATGTTTATACCTTCGTCATAAATATGATACTACTACATAATAAAGGGATAAACGAAATCAAAATTTAATTTTGACCATTAGCCAATAGCTCGTCGATGAGGTTGTTGTAATACTTAATTCCTTCCTGATTAACACCTCCTCCAGCCTTTCCTTCTGCAGAAAGTCATAAAAATTTAAAAGGGTCAAAGTGAAACGGGTACCTAGTAAACAACATCAGAGGCACGTGAAATAACATTTGACTTACTCGGCAGTATTCTTGACCAAGAGATGGAGAATCTATAAGCGTCCATATTCATATCTTTCATGATCTTGACATCTTCCTATAATATGTGACAATCTATCATCATACTATAATGAAAAACAAATGAAATGAAAGAAAAAGATCTTCAAGATTAGAGTTTGAAATAATCAGCCAGTCATGAGAGCAGATGTCAATTTTTGTGTTCAGCCATCAGTCATGTGGGCCAGACCTTATACCGATGGTATGAGTCATCAGCTACGTCTCCATTGCTTCCTCCTTTTATTTTTCCTGAAAACCAGATCAATTTAAACTATTCATGTCAGTCAATCAATAAAGAGTACGTATTTATAGTTGTCTAAGATGAAAATAGCGTGAACAGAAGTCTGAGAATACTTTGACTGGACTAGCTGAAAGAAAAAATCAATAGCTTGCTCATTCAGTGGCATCCAAAACCCCAAATTGAGTTATCCAAATAACAGGGGTTGGTAGCAAATCAAATAAAGTTAATTATGCACAAAAATAGGCAGAAATTATTATTCTCTCTGTGAGCGCGCGCGCGCGTGTTCAACAGAAGCAGAAAAGAGTGGGCAAAATAGTTTGGAACAGGAAGGCCGATACCTGTGAATTTATGGGTGAAGATATCCCAATTACTAGGTCCTTTACCATCTTCATTTGCCGCGCCTTCGTACTACATAACGCATTGATTCAATTAATTGTACATAATACATATGGTTCAAATCAAGATAGAACTGTGGAGCCAGAGTATAGATGGACCTGGTAGGCGGAAGATGCGGTCCCGAAAATGAAGCCCACAGGGAAACTGGCGCGATTAAGAGAAGAAACGTCAAGGATGGGTGGAGTTGCAGCAGATTGCATCAAAGTGAGGGCAAGCAGGACCGAAAGGCGAAGGAGCAATGCCATAAAGTAAAGTAACTGAGTTCTGTGTTCTCCCATACCCAGCATCTGGGCTACGGGAAATCGCATTTCTTTCTGAACTGCACTAAACAATTTTGATCCGATATCATCGAGAGCTACGCGTTATGAAGAGCATATTGGCCACAAGAATTCTTATGATGCTTTCGCCCCTAAGATCCTGGAAACGGGGAAAAAATTAAACTGTAAACCCATAAACAGTAAAATCTGAGCGAGTGTTGTGCGCGTAAATTGCTTTTCCGGCGCACCCCGGAGCAAATGGATGAAGGAATTTTGATGTCGAGACTAAAAGGAAAATGAAGATTAATGCTTCGACCGAGCTTGGAACAACCTTAGCAATTCCCAGAGGATGCTGGAGCAACCTAAAGCGGGGAAATTCAGGCGCTTCGCTCAAGGGACCACCCAGATCATGCCACATCATCCGTCTTGGCCATCTCAAGGGCATCTCCATGGCATCAGTAGAGTACGGCATCTTCAAACTTGTCATGTCAGATATTTGAGATTTAAATGGCGGCTTTAAATCTAAACACTGGTAGTTCCTGACATGCGACAGTCTGAGTGAGACGGTCCTGTGCGGAAGTTCAAAATATCGGAACGCTTGAATTAGAGCGAATTTAAAGCCAATGAACCGTAAGAATCTCTTTTCCCGGCTTTATCAGCGACTACACCACCTCAGCACATCGGCCACAGCGTAGGCCTTGGCGCCAATCTGGCAGGCCCGCCTTTCTCCTTAATTAATTACATCTTAATTCTTAATATAATATCTCATA